ATTTTGTTATGATTTTATTTAGTTAGAGAAATCTTATTTTCTTGTCACTTTCTTTATTTAAGAATTCATTCTGCTACATGGACATCTTTATAAATTGCTTCATCATCGTTTTACATACTACTTATGCATAAAATCTATTATATTTCATTAGTTGAGTGTTTAACAACCCCATGATTGTGATTGTGATTGTGGATTGCGTTGTCTTTGTTTTACTATTTTTCTAGAATTTTTTATGTTTTGCTAAGTCATTTCTCCATTAATCATCCATACTAATACTATTAGTTATATAGTTTGGAAAAGAATGTTAACTGTGTCAGTGAGTTTTACTAGCAAAGATCAAGTTAGTTGAATGTTGCGGAAAACAAACACAATGTTCTCACTAATAAAGAAATTTCAAAGAAGTAAATTGCTACCCAAGAAAACCACAAGGTTTGACTTAGAAACGACCAGCTATGTTGGTGAAATTATTATTTGCCTTTTTCGTAATGATTGTAGTTTAAACATTTATAATATTTGTCTTTTCCGTTTTTCTTACTCATTATCTGTTTTTACACTCTACAGATTGCTCCCATTTATTTGACATCCTGTAGGAAGCAGGGAATGGGTCTGCTGGAGATGTTGTTGCACAAGCAGCCTGCTCAACATAATCAATTGCTACTTAAAGTGGGACAAATCTTTGGTGCCCTTTTTCTATTCTTATGCATTTTTAAAGAAAATTATTCTGGCTTTTCTGTCTTTTATACTTATTGCTTGGACAATGTTTTTTCTTTTATGCAGAATTTAGAGATTTGTCGCCTATATGAACTTGATAGTGTTAGTTCTGATATCATGAAGGTATGGATTTGCTGCCTAATATTATATAGATTTGATGTCTAAAGTATGGTGACTTGAGTCCAATCATCATTAAAATGTGAGACATTATTATCTTGTGATTGGGGGTTTCTATTAAATCTTTTAGAGTTCTAATGTTTAGATTGCTGGAGTACACCACTGGAAGCATGGTAGAAAAGGCTTGGGAGTTTTTTGGCTTCAGCAAGCAAAGGACGAAGTTCGTCTTAACAGGATTGCACAGCAGTTGTTTGATTCTGTTGGAAAGTCACTCTCAGATGAAAAGTTCGAGGTTATTACCCGTCCTTGCCTCAATATTTTGTATTGGAGACATTTCTTGAACAATTATTTTATCCTTCCTTTTATGCACCACCATAGAAACAATGAAATAATCATTGTAGAAATAATGATTATCTATTTGAATTTAACTTGAAAAATTTTAATATAAATCCAAAACACAATAGAGTTGATTTACATATGATAGTTGCAGTTACTCTTGGTGATCCTTCAATAGGAGAGGTATAATTTAATTTGAAAATTTTAATACAAATCCAAAACACAATAGAGTTGGTTTACATGTGATACTTGCAGTTATTCTTGGTGATCCTTTAACTGGAGAAGTATAATTTAATAGTCATGTGGTTCTCATGCTATTTAAAGTTAAACATTTATGTTTGATTATGCATTCAACTGAGTTAAAACTGTTGGGAAGTGTATTTGTAAAGTAAGGTAAAGTGTATATTTGTGATAGATCCTTCCCATGTAATTAAGAGTGTTTCCCATTATTATTCATATAAATCATTTCATATAAGGCCCAATTATTTAATAAAATTCATACTTCATTCTAAACATGGTATCAGAGCTCTAAGTTAAAAAAACTTTAAAGCTTTTCTACAGATCCTATTCGATCTTTGTTACTGAAATAAGAAAATCTTAGAGCGGACTAGCCTTCATAGCCGACAACAACACTCCAGTTGCCGACAACCACTGACTTGCCTCCTACCACCTAGCCAGTTCTATCCTCCAAGCCACATAGCTAGAAGTAGCCAGAGCAGCTGCTAGCACCAGTATCACGTGCTTGCGCCCAAACAAGCCGCCAGAATCGCTAGCCAAAGCAACCTGCACCTCTACAGCTTGTGTCGGGCCAAGCCAGCCACCAGCTGTGCCTCAACCACATCTTAGCATGCACCCTCCCTCTCCAGCAGCTGCAAGCCGAAGCATCACACCACTCCTGCTGCCCAGCCCCTCCACTCCTTTGCATACTGCTGTCCAGCGGTGATCCCTGGCCAATTATATTTTTAATTGGCCTTAATTACCTTAAACATTCCTTTGAAAGATGTTGGAAGTTATGTCCCAGTCTACCGACACAAACTTCCCAATAGGAAACATAGCACAGAACAATGACAAATTTTAGTCAATCCAATTTGCCTATTGCTTTAATTGTAATGGTTACTTGAGTTGGTCACAACTGATTTGAACCTCCCTCAAAAGTAAGGAAAGCTAAGCCATACAATTGCCACTGTACCAAAGTCGGAAGATCCCATTTTTTATGCTTGGGACGAGAAAGATTCAAGAATTATGGCTTGACTCGAACTTTATGGCACCAAAGTTAGTAAAACAATTATGTGCATGCCTACAGTAAAGAATATTTTGGTTTCAATCCGATAAACTTATTATTCCAAGAGAAAAGATGCAGTTCGGATATATGACTTTATTGTTAAAGTTTGAAAAACTAAATAAGACAACAAGACAGTCAGAATATACACGCTTATGACAAGAACTTGACCAATATCGTAGTATCATTATAGAAAGTAGTAAAGACACAACAACCTTGAAAAAGACTTGTTGAGAAAGATATAGCGGACTGGTTTGTTATAGGATTCAAAGGAAGAATATGATCAGGGGAGAGTTTAGATCCTGGCGAAGGAAAAGATTCCATTCTTGAATGAGGTGATATCCTTAGTTAGCACGGAGGAAAGTAGAAGAGGAGTTATGCTTGAATCCTGCACCATGGAAGGCTCCATAATGGTAACTAAAGGCTCTAAACTATATCGACTGGGGAAGGAATCTATCACAATGAGACTTGAAGCGACGGTAGGGAGGATGAGGAAAATCTTTGGTGTACCTTCTGCAAGAAACCAAGGCAACATTAGAGAAAAGTTTTAAAAGCTTTATGGAAAGCCGACCACCTCTAGCAAGGATTGAAGACACAAGAAGAGTCAGAGATATGCACATATAGCCTAAAAGGAGAAAACTACAATAACTTTTGATCTCAATGAAAAAATTAAGCGCATTTAAATCCGAGTAACTTGAAAAGCTTAAAGGTATAGGTCTTCTTACACATTAAATATGGTTTATATTTACAATGGTTTAAAAGCTTGTCATGG